ACATGTGACATCTTCTTCCAGAGCGGGGTCATCTTTTCCTCTCCTAGGTATTTAAACTGAGGAGTAAGAACCATAATCTGATCAAGAACTGGGAATAATCAAGGTTTCAGTTTAAGGAAGGTTCTACCTCCCTTTAGTTCGCCTGCTTCCAAAGTGCAGCTCTGCTTCTCTCCACTGAGATCTTGGGGTGTTCACAGGGACTCTCTCCCTGCTGGTCCTGACATTAATCCTCGTGTCCTCAGCTTGGCAAGACTTAATGAGAAATGTTTTCATATTGTTATTATTATAGCAAACTTATAATCCAGTGTTATCATAAATTACTATGTAAGTTAGTCACAGAAATAATGTTCCTTTATTAAGAAATTTCAAAGTATATGTCATTCATCATGCCAAAAGTTGGCAAACTATGGCCTGCAAGCCAAATCTGCCCACTGCTTGTTTTTATTAATAAAGTCATTTTGGAGAACTGCCAATTATTGCCTGTGGTTGCATTTGCAGTATGATGCCAAGAGTTGAGTCACTGTGACAGAGACCATATGGGCCACTAAGCCCAAAATATTACTATTTATTATCTGATCCTTAACAGAAAATGTTTGCTGACCTCCCAACCATTCTAAACAAAGTAGCCATAAAAAAGCATTCTGCTACTTGGTATCAAAGAGTTCTTCCCAAGCTCTTTCAGTATGGACACATTAGCTCATAAATCCAATTATCAATAGGTCCAGACATTTAAAAATCCACATATCCACCCACATATTCATGCAAACATGTGCAAAAACTTATTAAGGATTACAGAAACCTAAGAGGTATGTATGGGCAACAATGTACCTATGCTATAACCAACAATTAAAAACCCTTCTTACAAAAGGATGCTAAACTGAGATTGTAATGGGAAAGAGTTCTCTCTCCAGGCTTCCAAACAGATAACAGTCTGTTGAGTTCATAGTCCAAGTGTGGGAAGCCATACATGAATTCGGGGAAGCCAAAGAACTGGATCAAGTGAGAAACAAGGTACCTAGCTATCACTGCTGAAGAGAAGAGTTATAGTAAGTAGAGATTACAGGGAGTCAAAAGCAGAAGCAGAAGAGATGGACAATCAGCTGGCTAAGGAATCCTAGGAGGCAAATTATCTCTGAGAGTCTGAGCTTAGCTACATTTTAGAATCCATAAAGATTCCCAGCCCAGTGCTTTAATTTTCAACATGACTAGGTTTACTCCACTTTCTGTGCATCTAT